ACCTTTCGTGCACTCTGTCTGTGTGTGTGTGTGTGCGCATGCATTTCGCGCTTTGTGTTAATCTGTGCTACTTTGAGTGTTTGTGCGTGCGTGTGTGTGTGTGTGTTTGTTTGTTTGTGTGTGTGTGTGTGTGTGCGTGTGCGTTCATTGTGTAGTTGTCGTGCTTCGTGTGTGCTTTGTGTGTGTGTGTGTGTGCGTGTGTGTGCGCGCACGGGCGCTTTCCTTGTGTGTTCTTGGCGTGGTTTGGGTGATTTTGTATCCTTTTGGTGCTTGGTGTGTGCCTTCTGCTGACTGATGAGGCCAAGGTGGTGACATGGCAGAGAGATAAAGACAGAGACCAGGCAAGCATCGAAACTTCTTGGTTTGCAAAACAGAGGAGGTATGCTAAACAAACCTGGGAGCAGAGCTCGGACCCGGCTTGCCTATAAAACTATTTTGAAATATAGGAGAGGCTTCAGCCGACTTTCATGTGCGGAAGAGCGAACGCTGAAATGGTTGCGTCTGCTGCGACTTGTATTGAAAGTGCCGAACTTTCAATGCACGAAGCCATGTGATCTTCGGATCTTCGTGCCCACCTTGGCTTGATATTTGCGAAGTTCGTGGTTAGTGGCTTTAGGGTCCTTCGCCGTGCTCAGGTTTTATCTTTCTGATAATTGCTTGTGGAATCGGCACGGTATGTTCGCCATGACGGTGTGGTGTTCTGCTAGCTATCACTTTCGCCCCCGGGGCAGTCTTTCCCGAAAGGCGGAGCGTATTAGAGCCTGCTGTGGCTCCTACCTGTTTGCACTCCTATCTCGTCGAGGCTGACGCCTCCGAGGGATAAGTGCTGGCTGGCGCCGTTCCCAATTGCCTTGCGATGGCTCATTGTTCGCACTTTCTTTGGTGACCTGTCTTGTACGATGCATGACTCGAACAACCATCCGGCATCAACATCGCAACAGCTTCGTCCTGGCACGGTGATGGACTCGCATCGACCAGTGTCCCAGCGTCGCTCGGAACAGTTGCCATGCAGGCGCTTGCGTCTCCAAGCGACTGGTTCGCGGTGGCTTGAGATGGACACAGGAGGGTGATGCTGCTGGAGTTCAGCTCCTCCAATCCAATACAGGAAGATTATAGTATTCTTCTCGGTGCGCGCACTTCCACTGTGACGAAGAAGCGGCATGTCCTGCCAATCCTCCTCCGAAGCAGCATGTGCCGTGCACGGCGATGCCGTAGTCGTGCTTGTGCCCTCGCTCGACGACATGTCGATGGTGTCATGTGATTCGCGGCTGAAACGTCTTAGCAGTCAACTCTCCTGAGCCTGCCTACACCTAGGACCAACAGTCCAAGGTCCCTGCCTGATCGATCCTGCATTGTCGGAGCAACGTGATCCGCAAAAACACACGCCCACAAACATGCACACGAACACACACCTATTCATGTCCAACAAGCTCAACCATCATGTCATATCATGTGGCCAAAAGCTTCAAGCATCACCGACAGGCCCACCTCGGGTGTGCCATCGAATCGCTCACTGAGACATCCTGGCCCAAAGACCGTCAAAGCGGGTCTGCAAGCATGCCAAGAGCCTATTCTAGGGGCCTTGAGAATTAGAATAGGATTTTGGGGCCTATTATCCTATAATCACAACAAGGAACCCCCGAAAAAATAGTTTTGTTAATCATTTAGGCCCCTATAAAAACTGGCTCTGCCTCCCATGGGTTGTCGTCCTCTTCGTTCCAAGGCTGAGCCTCGGCACACAAGGATGCTTGCAGAACAACTGCTTTCATGCGAAGTCTGAGAGAGAGAGAGAGAGAGAGAGAGAGAGAGAGAGAGAGCGAGAGAGCGAGAGAGCGAGAGAGCGAGAGAGCGAGAGAGCGAGAGCGAGAGCGCGCGAACGACAGAAAAAGAAAAGAGCGACGGGGGGGAGCAGATGTTCTCCCCACCATTCAAACCCATTTATGTCCGCTCACGTGCTTGCATTCGTGCGTACATTTGTAGGTAGACATATGCAGAGAGATAGACAGACAGCCAGATAGACAGACAAGCGGGCGGACAGACAGACAAACAGCTAGCCAGCTAGCTAGCTCGGTAGAAATCTAGCTTTGTTGGGTTGCTCGCTGAGAATGGCTCGGCGGAAAGGCACGTCCTCTGATCCTCCAATGTCTCTCGCTGTTTGCTTGCTTGCTTGCACAGCGTTTTGGTCTCTCGAGGTTGCTAAGTTTCCGACTCGCTGGCTGACCTCGTGGTACAAGTCTCGCATGGCCTGTTTGCAGTGACAGCATGTTTCTGCTTAAGTGGAAAGCATTATCAGAACCGATCAATGGCAAGATCTCGAAGGTTGTGGAGGCGCGCATTTGCGAGGTGCAAAGCTCCTAGCTAAAGCGAGATAAGGTACAGTGTGAGAGAAATCTCAAGACTCTCTCAATCACGAATTACGGCAGCTCTTGGAACCACTTCGGTCCCCAGAGCTGCGAAAGCTTGAGGCGACGGGCTTCGTCGTTTCAGCTTTCCCGCTTGGTGGCGAGGCGTGGCTCAAGCAAGCTTCGAGACCTGAGCAGAGTAGACAGGCATGCCGAGCACGCCCTCAAAACTTCCAAGTTCTAGGGCGGGCACAAAACTCGCGAGCTGCACCTGGCAGCGATTTGCATTGGCAAGTGCCCACACCTGCCTATCTGTGAAAGGCTAAGTTTGGACGCGTTGCAGACAGGCCTCCATTTGCTTCTCAGCTTTCTGCATCTCCTTCGAGGCCCGGGGCTTCAGTTTAGCTGCCCTAGGAGCACGAGCGGACGAGCGGACTCGGAGCCTCAACTTGATGCGCCAGGGAGGCGAACTTCGAGGCCTCACAACCGGCTTTGCGAGGCTTTGAGTCGGCCCTAACCAAACTCCAGAGGCACCCACCCAGTCGTTAGCCCCACCGTCGGTTGCCTGCACTCGGAAGGCAACGACGGGGCATAGTGCCACAGCTGCAAGTGCCTTCGAGATGTTGCGACAAAGCTCGTCGATTCTTAGCAGCAGCCTCCCAAGAGTCACGAAAGCCAAGCTCTCATTTACAATTGGCAAGATCAAGTTCAAAATGGTCCAAGTTCACAGCCTGGTGTGGGCAACAGACTCTGCTTCTTCGTCCTAACGGGATTCAATCGCAGAAAGCGGCCAAAAAGAACAACCCACGGTATCCCGCAGTCTGAGTTCAGCGATCCTTTTGCAAGGTTGCAGCCAGGTTCTCAAACTCCTCTTCCAGGTCTTGTCTCTGGCCACCTGCTGACCCACTTCACTCCGCGACGAGATTTCTTCGTGGTTGCCGCTGTCGGACTACGTGTATGAAGAGCAGTACGAAACTGAGCAGCAGTCCTGACTTTTTGAACTGTGCCGCGATGAGTGCATTGACACGCTCAGAAAGATGGGTCACCTCACTGAAGCAAAACCAAGCTGGCATGATAAGCCTGGCTCGGACCTCATCTTTCAAGGCGGCTGATTCCAAGCGATCCTGTGCGCAGCAGTCTTATTTGCTCTCCAGGCAGCAGAACACATTCCAGTCAGGAGGTTTGAGTCGAGAGCCTGAACCCCTTCGACGACAAACTTCAGCTCGTCCACCGACTCTTGCGTTGCCGGAGTGGCGTTGAGTTTGGTCTGGCAAAGTGGGAGCGAGGTGATGGGGACGGTCTGCTTGTGTGATCCCGTGCTGCCTTCAGGCCAGCCACATCCTGCTCCAAAGCGTTCAGAGAAGTCCTCGTGGCCTCTGTCAACTCTGTCGCAGCGACGAAACTGTGCTGCGTCATCCTGCACGGGCCTCGATCCGCTCAGAGGGCATGTTCAGAGCCTCGGCACAGGACGCTCATTTCCTTGCTTGGCGACTGCCACTGTCACCACGGCTATACGTGCTCTCCTCTGTTTTTCTCGGCCTCCTCTTGGCAGTTCGCAGCTTTACACAGTTAGATGGTGCAAAGATGTGTAAGGCCATGAGTTCACTCACCCTGCTTCAGGGCAGAGTCTCGGTCGTCATGCATCTGCCTGCCTGTCTCACTTTCCGACGTAGCCCGCTTGGAGACCAAGAGATTTTCGCAGCCGGGTGACCTCCGAGCCGAGACACTCCGAGACTCAATTGATTCCGACAGGCACATCACCCTGGGAAGCTTGCAGCCAAGCGGCCACAAGGTTTTGAGCCTTGGCCCGGCTGCCGAAAACCACAATTTCAGCACCTGCGAAGACCGCAAGTTCAAAGCGAGCGGAAGAGAGAGAGAGAGAGAGAGAGAGAGAAAAAAAAAAAAGTTTCCGACGACGAGCGGCCTGCTGCACGAGCAGCATTTTCATCTGCAGAACAAGAGATCACTGCCAAGAGCGGCTGTTCCAAGCCTTCTGTCGCCTTCACCCGGCTGCGAATTGCAGAGAAAAGGCCGAACGCATTCATGGCACCACGCTCCTGTGCCGCAGTTGCTGCAGTTCAGTCCGCTTGCATGGCGACGCCGTGAACAAACGAGGGCTCCTTCCGTCCGTTGCCCTCCATCATGGAAGACATAACGCAAAGCACGTCTTGTGGAAAGGCATCGTACGCTTCCAGCAGAGCCTGTGCCACCGCAAATCGCCTAGCTCGCATCCTACAATATCCTACGATGCCCTACTTGTAACGACAAAACCCGAAGTGGCCATCAAAGCGGCAGCCAGCGAGCCTCAGGCTCAGTGAAGGTGCGCAGTGCCAGCCCAGATCCTCGCAGCACGTCAGCGCAGGAAGCCACCTCTGGATCGGAGTCGCACCAGAGTACTGAGCCATGAAGCTCCTTGGCGGCCACACTTCCATACTAGCAGCTCTAGATCTGCCTCTCCAGATTGCAAACCTTTCTTGTTGTAATCAGAAAAATCGGCTTCGAAGGCCAAAACCAAGACTCTGAACCGTTTCGGTAACTCCTTTGCAGGGCAGCTTTGTCCCCTTGTCGGATAGCAGCCATCCTGTCTCTCAATGCGCTCAAGCGATCTTCCACCTCTTGTCGCACGGATAGCCCGAGGTTGCCAGTGGGCTGGAGAGCATCGAGTCCTGGCCACGTTCGCATCCAAGGGCGACTAGTGACTGGTGCAGGTCTGGACGACGCCGCTCCTTCCTCCACTTTCCGAGGAGTGCGACTCCTGGCTCTTTGCTGCACCTGAGTTCCCCAACAGCACCACATGGGTCAGGCCTGGGAATCCTGCGGCCCTCTGACTTTGCCTTCCAGGTGCCAGCTGGACCACGCCACCAAGCACTAGTCCGTGAGACCACATGGGCCTCCTAGGTTTGCGAGAAGCCGCTGCCGGAGCACTTCGCCTGGAATCGCAAGTCAGGTGAGAAGGAGAATGTGCACGATGGTTTGTGCTACTGGCAGGCACAGACAAACAGCGGAACGAGACATCAAACAGGCAAGTTGCCGAGCAGTCTGGAAGTTCAAGACTCCACAATGCCCACATCCATAAGTCGACAGGTGCATACCCCGGCTGTGAACAGGCCCACTCCAGCCGTGCCGGAGCAGAGAAGGTTCATCGAGCAATTTTGCAACCATGGCTACACATAATGACGGCGATGGCAGGCAGCAGGGTTGGAATTGATCTACGTAGATGAGCTGCGACAGGTTGACAAGAACCTTGCAGTAGAAAAACATGCACACACTTTGCCCGAAACGCAGGTCCATTCATGATTCGTGGGCTTCTCGTTCAGCTGCCGACACTTGTACTACTCTGCAACTCGGCCACTTGGTCCTGGCATCTGCACTTTGTCAAAAGCCACAGAACTTAAAAAAAAACAGTGCAGGTCGCCTTGGCACTGTCCAGCTCCTCTTTCAGAGTCTTCTGGCACTCCAGCTGAGCCTGCGAGATGCGGGGAGTACAAGTACTATACACAGTCACTCTGCCAACCCGGGGCCTCCATGGACTTCAGTTGAGCTGCATGCTGCTCGACGATATGTCGAAACTCCGTCGCCTGGTCTCCAGCGACCTTTTTTGCAGCACGACGCTTGTTCAGGTAAAGGCCACAGATTTCCGAACCTTGGAGTCTTCAGCAGCTGCTGCCTCCATCTTGCTGCGGAGATCCTCTCAAGAGAGATGGTGAGTTCAGGATCGTGTGGGCTTGGGGCTTGGGCCATTGGGCATGCACTGGCTTGCTCGTCCTGGAGAGTTTCCAGCTCGCCCTTCAACTCTTTTCTTGCTGTGATCAGCATCTCCTGTAGCTCCAGTTCAGGTCCCTGGACAGCCTGGCAGGATCGTGTCCGGCAAAGATCCACGGTGCCCTCATGTCTTCAGCCCTGCCTTCAAGGCTTTGGCAAGCTCCGTCCTCACGTCTGACTTGCTCTGTTCCACCAACCGGTACAGCTCAGATGCCAACTCCTGGCGCTGCACCAGCAAAGGCAAGTTGTTCGTCCCGGTGACCCGGTGTGAACCATCCGTGTCCTTCTGGCTCTCCTCTGTTCTGTGCCGGTGTTCCTTGAGCTCCCCTGACACATCCTGTCTGGCGTTCATGCTCATTGAGCTCGGTCGTTGCTCGGAATCTGTCCTGCTGGAGCTGAAGCCACTTCTCGTCAGGGCCGTCAGCCTGAGCCGGACACGCCGTGACCAGATGCTAGGAGAATCCGAGTGGCGCCTGAAGGGGTGCCAGCTGCGACTGGAGGCTTTGCAGGCTCTCCTGACGCTCTGACAGAGACGATGCGAAATAGGCTGACTAGCTCAGCAGATTCCTCCTGGCTGTGAGCCTCAGCTTTGAACTGCTTGAAGCTCTTCTCCAGTCCTGGACAAGACTTGGCCTGGGCCCGAGCAGCAACCTCGAAGCCATCACCCGGCCTGTCAGGTGGTCTTTCCACTCCGTCTGAACCTTCTCTACAGCGTTCTCGCAGCTGGTCTTCAACCTCGGATTCGACTCGAAGGGAGGAGCCCGCAGGATGAAAGCGGGGTGCAACTTGGCTTCAGGCTCCCCGACTTGTTGCCTCAGGTCTGTGGCTGTCGTCTCTTGAAGCTCGCGGAGCTGCGCCGTCACCTACAGGGCATGTCAATGTGGGGGGGGGGGGGCACATGCCGGCAGTAAAAGGCTCCGGAGCCACCTGGGCAGAGGCGGCCATCTGCTCACGCAGCTCTGCGTGGCTTTTCATCAATTCCTGCTGTTCTGCATGCCAGGTGCGTTGGGACCACGCACCCCTGATAGCTCAGCCCTGAGCCTCTTTGATCTTTTCAGACACCGCATCTGTGCCTGAGGGCTCATGAACCATCAGGAGCTTGCAGGGAGTCCGCAGCTCGGGAAGCTGCTGGAGGAGCTCTTGGACGCGATGCTGGATCGCAGCGTGCCGATCTGATTCGGGACGGGTCCAAAACGCAGGCAGGAGCTGCACCAAGAACTGACAAAAAGCTCTAAGGAGTTGGTCATGCACCCGTCCTCCTCCTGCAACAAGCGGATCTCTTTCTGGAAAGGCTCGCTGGTTTGCAGCAGCCTTGCACTGTGCCAATGTAAAATCCTTCTAAAGCTGCTCCTTGCATAATATCCAATTCTCTGATCCGTCTGCACCTGATGGACTTCTCCTGCTCTATCACCTGCAGGGCTGGGCCACCAATTGGACCAGTCTTGTGGGGAGGTCCCGAGTTACTGACCTTGGGAGCAATCTCCTGGCATGCAGCTGAAGTCGCTTCGGAATGAAATTGAACAGGCCACGAATGACAGCACTTCGCATTCTGGGTCCCGTAGTTGTGAGAGCAAGTCGGCCACTCGAGGACCGAGATCATCATGATCTCGAAGCTCCTGGAGCTGCGGCAGTCCACCGTGCTGTCTTCTTCCGAGCCATTATCTAGCTGCGAGTTGGTGCATGTGGTTGGATGTCCTGCAGCTCCAGGCCAAGGGTCTTAAGCTGATCCTGCAGCGCGGCTCGGCACAAGTCATGAAGACAATGTTACAGCGGGCTTATCACGCGAGAGATGAGTGAAACAGAACTGCGTGTCAAAATGGCAAGGTGCCTCCAGCCCTGCGACGGCAGCCGCCATTTCAGCGTCCTGTTGTCGCACCCAGTCTCAGCCCCACTGTGCTTCCCAAAGCGGAGTGCAGAAGTTCTTTTCATCAGCAGATATCAGCTATAAATCCTCCCTACACACCAGACACTCTTTCTCTTCCGACCAGCCCATGCTTCTTCCCACCTGCTTGCCGCTGGCATGAGAGGCCAGCTCCTTGGCGAGACTTGAAGCTCTCTGGCCGCAAGGAAGCCATCCCAGCTGAAAGCAAAATTTCAAGCTGTCCGCCCGCTGAAGGTCGTCGTGGACTTGCTCTTGGTCCTCCACCCTGGCGACAACTTTCTTTCACTCTTCGCGCAAGCGGAGCAGACTTTGAATAAGGGTCCGGCTTCTTCGAGAGGAGCTCAAGCCTTTCGGCTTCCAGAGTTCTCTGCTTGTTGCTGTCCTGAAGAGCCTGCCGAGTCTAGAGATCTCAGAATCTCACGAGTTTCCAAAGCTCAGTCTGTCGGCCTGCCGGATCTGCTCAAGCTTTACGTCCCAGTCGCTTCGCTCTACACGCTCTGCCAGGAGGCGCAAGTGCTCCTCCGCCACAGGGGTGCAAGTCATCAAAGCGCAGTCACGACAGCTCGCGTGGCCTCGCGCGTCTCAAAGAGAGTCCGAAGAGCTCGGATTTGTTCCTGCACCAGGCAGACTGACTGCAATGTTTCTGCCATTGTGTGTTACTTTTATCTCCCGACGCCCTCCTTGGAAGCTGGAATCTGCTGCCCACTGCCCGCAAGCTGCTCTTGAATGGTTCCGGCATTTTCCAAACAACGCAAGGATGCTGTCAGCTGACTGCCCTCGTGACGAGCTGCTGCAAGAGCACCTGGCCTACGGCCCGCTGCGCATTTCTGTACACTGTACACGCAGAACAGCGTGCGATGGATTAGTATGATGTAATGTCTTTCTTTCCCAAAGCACCAGGTGTATGGCAAAAGTGCGCCCGCCGACGGGATTCCAGAACCTGAGCCGCAAGGTGCAAGGGACGAAGTCTCCAGCGTCGGGCAGTTAAATCTCCCAAGCTGCTCTTCGCCGAACGGTGACGAGAATCGGTTTGGCTCACCGTCAGCCGTCAAGCATAACGACGTAGAATCACCAAAGTTTCGCCAAAGCCAGTCCCTGCTTACAGTACCCTGGTTTCGAACATCCCCTAAACCCTAAACCCGAAAATGGCCAAGAGGCGTGCGGTGCCACTCTGCCGGCCATGCTCTGGTGGAATGAAGCCAGTAGGGGACCAAGAAGAGAAGCATCCTTGTCTGTTGGCTTAGAACGCATTCAGACACACAAACCTGGGACCTAGCCTTGGTTCTGAAAGGACGGTTTACCACACCGACCTAAGCTTTCACACACCTCGAACAACTTCGCTTACTTTCTGTGCATGTTGCTTGTGCCTGTCTTTCCAGGGTCCCGTTTGCCGGACGGTCCTTTGTAATATGATACCGCTCTACTGTTCGCGGACGTCAGGCTCACAAATTGGAAATCCTCATCTCAATCATCGAAAAATGAACTGGAGACTTCAGCACATCTGGGACCCTGCGACTCAAACCCGACCCGGACTGAGGAGGCATCCAGTCGTCCAGACTCATCCCTGCAGGGGCTGACACAGGGTGTGAGCGAATGCGACCGGGACTGCTAAGGAAGTGGCCGGTTGATGCCGAAACCCCCTGCCTGCAAGAAGACAAAGATTCGGCGAGCTGGATGGAGTCTGTCATGGCCTGGTTGGCCCCTTGGCCAATGAAAGGAGTCATGGGATGCGCAGCGTCGCCAATGACAGCGGTCCGCGCGCCAACGTGTGCTGCGCAGCAAAGCGGGTCACGGTCAAAGAGAGCACCTGCCCGTAGAGTCGACGAATCGGTCTGTCGGATGATGGCCTGGAACTCAGGGCACCAAGAGGAGGTTTCTGATTCGGCCAGTGCCTGCAGCTCCTGCTTGGGTAAGGCCCGGATCGCTTCAATCCGCCCAAGCTCTGCTGGGAACGTAAGCTGCCACATGGCCCCTGTGGCTTCAAAGGGCTTCATGAACAAGCGACGGGTACCGTCAAGCAGGTGCAGGCTGCCGGCATCGCAGAAAGCCGGGCTGGAGCTGGCAATTCCATTGATCATCCCCACACCGAGAAACCGAAGGCTGTCTGAGAGCTTCTGCTTCCGCACGGCTGAGTTGACACCGTCGCAACCCACTAGCAAGGCAGAGGACAGCTTCCGACCGCTGCTTGACTCAACCGTCACACCTCCATCTGACTCCTGGAACGACTCGACCCTTTCCGAAAAGAGAATTTTAGTGGATGTCAATGACCTCGCTAAAAGACTCCGCAACGTCTGGCGAGGAACATAGAGATTGCAGCGACTGTTGCGCTTTGTTGGGCCAGGGCCAGGGCGCACCCCCACGCGTCGAATGATCGAGCCGTCCAGCGCATTCACGAAATGCTGGCCTCCACCGCCAAACTTGGAGCAGCTTCTCACCGCATCCAGAAGCCCAAAACTCCTGACTCGACCCCATTTTGCTGACACCCCGGCTCCGAAAAGACTTCAAAATTTTGGTATAGGAGAACTACACTTCGTGCTTTGATGTCGGCAAAGTCTCTTCAGAGCCTTTTGACCAGGCTGCTGTATGGTTAAGCTGTATCCCTGCGCACGACTCTCCAGGCAGTCGTCGGCTTCCAGAATCCAAACGGACTTGAAGCCTAACTGCTCCAGTTTTCTGGCCAAGGCTAAACCGGCGATGCCGGCCCCGGAGATGAGAATGTCAGGGTCGGCAGGCGCTGCATGCACACCACTGCCAGGGCTTGCAACGGACTGCCAGACTCCCATTCCGCAGACACGCACAGCTACCTACCGTCTCCCTTGTGCCACTACTTAGTACGCTACTTCTTTTTAAACGGCGGAAGATGTTGACCACAAGCTGCAAGGCTGCATGAGCTGACTTACTGAACAAAGGCACAAGCCTCCTGAGACGCAACGCGGCTGTGAACGTCGCGGTTGTCCTCACGGAAACAAGTATTTTGCGAGGGCAAGACAGCTTGAACTGCTGTAGAAGCAGTGGGGGCGGAAAGGAAGAGCAGAAATGCAGCCCAAAAAGAAGCGCACAACCTCGTTTGTCCAGCTCGCGATGCGGGCTGGGAAAAAAGTACCTGCCCTCACCGGCTGCACTTCTCGGGCCTTTTGCCCAAACCGCCTCACAAAGAACGACATATCCACAACCGCGGTATTATCGACATGCATGTGAAGTGCCTGACTGCTCAGTAGTACGTCTTGCCACCGCCTCAACCACTCAGCTCACAGGCATTCCGCATTCGAGAGTCAAGCCTGTTGCTCCAAGGCTACCACCCCACTTCTCCGGGATGGTCTGGTTCTGATAGAGGATGTACGCGGACATGTCGTACCTGGACTGAGCTGACTCGGAAAAGCATGACGAGAGCGAGAGACTCACAGAAACGCCGAGGTCTTGGCAAGTCCTCGCAGGGTGTGGACACACACACACACACACACCAACACCAACACACTTGCACTTGTGACTAGAACGCAGTCAGCACATGGATCATGGCAAGCCGCCCTCTTTTAAAGATTCTAGCTTTTCGCCCCACTCCTGCTGCTTCATGGAGCGCATCTTAGGCCAGATGTCGCCGCCCTTGATGGATGGGTGGACCTCGGAGATGTCCTTCAGACCTTACCAGGCAAGAAGAGCGAGAAGACTTGCAGGCGCAAGAAAAGCAGTTGCCACACTCGTGCGACTCGCATGTATACTGAGCACAGTGCCGTCGTACGTGGTGGGGTTGTTCAGGTAGTCCACCAAGCCTGAACTCACAACCGGAGAGGTCGACTGGTCTAGTGGAGAGCGCCATCCAAGCTCCTAGCCTTCGACGGAGGCGCGGTTGGGCTGCGCACCGCTGAGCTCCTCGATGGCCAGGCCGACGTTCCTCAGCAGCATCCAAACGCTTTGGATTCATCGTTTCTGTGCATGCACAATCGCGCTGCTCCGATGAAGCCATGATTCTGGTTGGTGCGGGTACCACCTCCGACGTGGCAAGAGGCGCAGGCTGCGTTGAACAGACGCTTGCCGCGCACGAGCTGCTCCTGACTCATTCAACTTAAACCGAGGCGAACGGAGGGAGGGTCTTGCTGCATGCCTTGGTCAAAGTGGTGGTCTTGCCCTTGTCATCAACAGGGATCACCACATCCTGGCGACCATCTTTGTAGCTTAGAGTCACACAAAGACATACCCAGACATGAGATCAGAGACCAGGAATGCTGGCAGCTGGCCAGCGCCGGCCTCGACATCGGCCCTGGCAGGACCCGCAGTGCCGGCAACCAAGGCCAGGCCCAGCATGGCCCCAGCAGCGAAGCGCAGCAGCCCGTCAAAGGCTGTGGTCGTGGTCGACGCCTTTGCAGAAGCGGTCATGAGGCAACAACCTGGACCTCGTCAGCAGTGCCTCTTGGGTCTGCAGCTCCATCCAAGAGCTGGAACCATGTCCTGACTCAGGATGGCTAGAGGTCACCTGACACAGCTCGTTGCTTTCAGATGCAGTGAGCCACCAAAAGCCGCCCAGCCTCAGTACTGCCCTGGGCAACAAAAACTCTCTGCAGACTCAGGAGGCCAAAGCCGGCCACCTCGGATAGGTGTCACTGACATTGTGCATTGCAGCCTGCACTCAGCCGTGCTGAGTCGAGAGCTGCCAACAGTGCTGCTGCACGCTGCGCCATGCTTCAAGCTGCCCACGCTCTACAGGGGGAGTGCAGCTGAGGGGCCAGGACGGCTGGACATGCATCACGTGCTGGGTTTTGAAGCTTGCCAAACTGTCCAGCCCACCGTTGCACGTGCCAACATCCTTTCTTGGCGCTTTGGGGTCACCGGCACGACAGTATGTCGTTGTGCCTTTCTGCAACCGTGCGGCTGCACTGCGGCCTACTGGCTTCCATAGGGCTGCGACGAAGCTGTCAAGCTCGGCTAAGGAGCCAACGGCGGAGCGCCACTCTTCGAAAAGGAAAGTCTCGCCGCCAGCTGGCTAGCTGCTACGCAGACAGCCCACAAAGCTCGCTACTGGGAAACAAGCTTTCAGTAATAGGTCTTGCCTCCGCCTTGGCAACGCATACGCTGGCAGAGGAATCCAGGCAGGTGCATCAGAAGGCACGCTGCTGCTTCTCAACATCGCCCCAAGGCTACCACCCCACTTCTCCGGGATGGTCTGGTTCTGATAGAGGATGTACGCGGACATGTCGTACCTGGACTGAGCTGACTCGGAAAGCATGACGACAGCGAGAAACTCACAGAAACGCCGAGGTCTTGGCAAGTCCTCGCAGGGTGTGGACACACACACACACACACGCACACAACACACTTGCACTTGTGACTAGAACGCAGTCAGCACATGGATTTTGGCAAGCCGCCCTCCTTTTCCCCAACACCGTAAGCTCTGGGTTCTTTAGCCGAAATAAGGTTTGGGGCAGATTGGGGCGAGGCCTGGGGCAAGTTCCGGGGCAGGTTCCGGGGAGGTTCCGGGCAGGTTCCGGCGAGGTTCCGAAGCAGGTTCCGGTGATGTTGCGGGGGAAGGTTGGGCAGGTTCCGCAGGTTCCGGAGCGGTTCCGGGGCAGGTTCCGGCAGGTTCCGGTGAGGTTCCGAAGCAGGTTCCGGTGATGTTGCAACGCAAGTTCCGGTACAGCTTTCGGCAGGTTCCTGCAGGTTCCGGAGCGGTTCCGGGGCATGTTCCGAAGCAGGTTCCGGTGACGCGTTGCGGGGCAAGTTCCGGGCAGGTTCCGGCAGGTTCCGGCAGGTTCCGGCAGGTTCCGGGAAGGTTCCGGGCAGGTTCCGGCGAGGTTCTGAAGCAAGTTCCGGTGATGTTGCGGGGCAAGTTCCGGCAGGTTCCGGCGAGGCAGGTTCCGGCAGGTTCTGGGGGAGGTTCCGGCGAGGTTCTGAAGCAAGTTCCGGTGTTGTTGCGGGGCAAGTTCCGGGGCAAGTTCCAGCAGGTTCGGCACATTTGGCTTGCGTTGCAGCAGATCTGGACCTGAATGCCGTCCCTAAACCCGAAAATCCTGCTGCACGCGCTTTGCTTGGGCCGCCAATACCCCCAAACGCATTTCTCAAGCCTTTAAAAGCGCATTTTCCAGCTTCTCAGCCTTGCTCACGCCCATGCTGGTCCCAGTCCCGGGCTGTAATTCAGCGCCCGAAGCTTCAAACCGAGCCCAAATGCAATTTCCGAGGCCTGGTAGACGCACTTGGCCTCCGTTGCAGCAGATCTAAACTTGAATGCCGTCCCTACAACCGAGAATCCTGCGGCACACGCTTTGCTTCGGTATCCAACGGCCCCAAAAGCATTGTCCAAGACTTGACAAGTTCATTTTGCAGCTTTCTCAGCCTTCCTAATGTCCTCCTGCTCCCACTCCAGGGCTGTCATTCAGCTCCGAAGCTTCAGACCGAGCCCAAATGAATTTCGCGAGGCCTGCTAAACGCACTTGGCCTGCGTTGCAACAGTGCTCAACCTCCATGCCGTCGCTAAACCCGAAAATAATGCTGCACACGCTTTACTTTGGTACGAGTATCCAGCAGCCCCAAATGCATTGTCCAAGCCTTGAAAACCACATTTTGCAGCGTTCTTAGCCTTGCTAATGCCCTTCCTGGTCCCAGTCCCGGGCTGTAACTCACCTTCGGAAGCTTCAAAGCGAGCCCAAATGCATTTCCCGATGCCCGGTAAACGCATTTGGCCTGCGTTGCAGCAGATCTGGACTTGAATACCGTCCCTGAAATTGGGGATCCTGTTGTGCACGGAAACCAACAGCCCAAATGCATTGTCCAAGCCTTGGAAACCACATTTTACAACTTTCTCAGCCTTGCTAATGCCCCTCCTGGCCCCAGTCCCGGGCTGTAAATCACCTCCGGAAGCTTCAAGCCGAGCCCAAATGCATTTCCCGAGGCTTGCTAAACGCATTTGGCCTGCGTTGCAGCAGTGCTCAACCTCCATGCCGTCACTAAACCCGAAAATCCTGCGGCACACGCTTTGCTTCGGTATCCAACGGCCCCAAAAGCATTGTCCAAGACTTGACAAATGCATTTTGCAGCTTTCTCAGCCTTGCTAAGGCCCCTCCTGCTCCCACTCCGGGGCCGTCCAAGCCTTGAAAACCGCATTTTACAGCAGCTTTCTTAGCCTTGCTAATGCCCCTCCTGGTCCCAGTCCCGGGCTGTAATTCACTTCCGGAAGCTTCAAAACAAGCCCAAACGCATTTCCCGAGGCCTGGTAAACGCATTTGGCCTCCGTCGCATTTAGCCTGCGTTGCAGCAGTCCTAATCCTCAATGCCGTCGCTAAACACCAAATCCTGCTGCACACGCTTTGCTTCGGTATCCAACGGCCCCAAAAGCATTGTCCAAGACTTGACAAGCGCATTTTGCAGCTTTCTCAGCCTTCCTAATGTCCTCCTGCTCCCACTCCAGGGCTGTCATTCAGCTCCGAAGCTTCAGACCGAGCCCGAATGCATTTCCCGAGGCTTGCCAAACGCATTTGGCCTGCGTTGCAGCAGATCTGGACTTCCCTAAACCCGAATATCCTACTGCACGCGCTCACCTTAAGCGAATCAGAATCTTTTGTTCAATGCCTGCATCTACAGCTGTTTGAGCTTTTCTGGCACCCGTTCATCTGAGCCCGACGACAGCCATTCCGCTGTTGGGGTTATTCTAGCTTTTCGCCCCACTCCTGCTGCTTCATGGAGCGCATCTTAGGCCAGATGTCACCGCCCTTGATGGATGGGTGGACCTCGGAGATGTCCTTCAGACCTTACCAGGCAAGAAGAGCGAGAAGACTTGCAGGCGCAAGAAAAGCAGTTGCCACACTCGTGCGACTCGCATGTATACTGAGCACAGTGCCGTCGTACGTGGTGGGGTTGTTCAGGTAGTCCACCAAGCCTGAACTCACAACCGGAGAGGTCGACTGGTCTAGTGGAGAGCGCCACCCAAGCTCCTAGCCTTCGACGGAGGCGCGGTTGGGCTGCGCACCGCTG